AACAACATAATTTATCCCTGAGGCTCAAGAGAAAGAAACAGGGTCCTTAAGTTACAGTGTCTCTTTAGCAACCTTTTGGGCCATATTTCTAAATGTTTTCTCTTTACAGCAGTAGAAAAATCAAATATCACACACCAAATGGAAGAAAAATATAATTGGGTAGCTTGCAAAGATATTTGAGAAGGCAGAAAATAGTAATAAGAACCAGCCTTGCCCCTAACCTTCTTGGTCGACCGGTGCCAGTGGTGGGCCCTGTGCGTGTGTGTGCGTGCCCGTGCGCATGCCGGTGGCGGAGGCTGGGTGTGGATGTGGGTGTGGGTGGGTGTGTGTATCTCACCTTGCCTCCCAGCCCCTTCATGCTGCCGTTTCCATCTTGGGCTCACTTGCTGCTTCTCCTCAGGTGCCATCATGGAAGAGGCAGCAGCAGAGCTACTTGGTGTGAAGATGTGCAAGTTCATTCCAAGACACACCCGAAATCTGGCAAACGAGTTCCGCTGTTATGTGAATTATGATTCTGCCCTTGACCGGGAAACCTAGTGTATTCTCTTTGTCAGTGAACAGTCATAACCCACTGGTATGATTTCCAAAATAAACATCCCGCCATCTCATTACTGGTCTTTTATTGAGGGTGTCCCTCGAGCACGGAGTTTGTCTGGTAACAGGAATCCATGGACTTAGAGCTCGTCTAATCCTGTGACATATATGAAACACAACCCTCAACTGGGAAGAGACTTCCTACAGCTGGTCCAGACCCTGGCCCCTGCCCTGCAGCACAGATCCCTAACTGGGTTCATTCTGATTCTGGGGAGCAGCTCACTGCCACCATGACAGTTCTTGGAACCAGCATCTGTCCTGGCTCAGCTCGGCATCCTCAACTCCGTCAGCCTCCACATCAGAGGCTCAGAGCTGCCGAGAAGAGATCTCCCTCCATTACCAGCACTGGACACTGTGCTGGTCATCATGCACCCACCACGGCCTCCCACTCTGTGGCCAGCAGTAGTGGACTGGCTGTACACGACACTCAGATGGGGTTCTGGACTGTGCCTGGTGGAGATACCGTATCTCCAATACTGTACAATTCTGTTTATGTAACATTCTCAAATGCCAAACTGATAGAAATAGCAGATCAGTGGCTCAAACTTAGGGGAGGAAAGTAGGGAGGTAGATGTGTCCATAAAGGAGAGTTTGTGGCTCTGGAACCGTGCTGTGTCTTGACTGTGGTGATGAAATGGCACAGACCCACGCAGAGACAGCCATCCACATAACAGCACAAAGAAGCACAACTGGTGAAGTCTGAATAAGGCCTGTGGGCTGTCAGGTTCCTGGCTGAGACACTGTCACTTTGTATAAGGCACTGAGGTTTGTCAATGCTCCCAGCACCAGTAGCAGTATGCCAGCACCTGGTGCATTACACAGTCAATAAATGTGTTTTAACAAAAGACCCTACTTTATTATTTCCTTATGGACTAGTGTGCTGAAAATTACCCATGGCAATATCACATTTTGGTAACAAATTGCATACAGAAATGTAATGTGTAATTTAGGAATTCTGGGGAAAGTAGCAATCTAGAAAGAACAGAACTTTAGCTGTCCTATAAATCTAACATTCAGATGAAGAAAAGAAACCTTATTTTTTATTTTCCATTGAGGAAAAGACTAGTGTTAAAGACTAGAGGCTAGACTTGTATTAAAAATTTATATGTCTTAAGTTACGAGCCTTACAAAATGAGGTAATTACAGATTTGTTAAATCAGCAGCCGGCATGTTTACTGCCATGGACCCCTTAATGTGGCTTTACTCTTAGCAAATCTGTCCATATGTGACCCACTTCTGGATTTCATAAAAGACCTGTGGGTATGTGCTTGCACCTTTAAAAGATCTTTGTGTTTGCTGTTCCTTGGTGCCTCATTTAACCAAGTCTCTAATACACTGAGCACAGAGCTGGCACCTGGGAGGCAGGGGGCCACGCGCCATGCTGCCTGGAGGTGCTGTGTCAGCAGGGACCACAGATGGACTTTTGGGAGGCATCCTATTTTATAGCTTACCAGAGAGACTAAAAAAGGTATTTGCCAGATGAGCTATCCTTCCTGATCCAGATTTTTCACTGAGACCAAATATGCACGGGGAGGGCAAAAGAGAAGAGTATTAAGGGTACCATGGACTGCTAGGAAAATAAACGGATTCATCCTGGAGAGGGTTAAACCAGGCTGCTCCTTGGAGGCAAGGATTCTGAGGCTTCGTCTAACATACTTTGGACATGTTGTAAGGAGAGGGACATCATGCTTGGGAGGGTGGTAGGACAGCACAGGAGGGGAAGACCCTCTATGAGGTGGATTGATTCAGTGACTGGGGTAATCAGGATGGGTGTGTCAGAGACAGTGCGATTGGCACAGGACAGAGCAGAGTTTAGGGCTGTTGTACATAGGGTCGCTATGAGTTGCAAGCGACTCAGTGGCACATAACAACCACCAATTTCCAAGGGTAATGATGGCCTAGTGATAAGAAACTGCTGCAATCCCCAAAGGCACACAGTTAAAATCCACCAGCTACTGTGCAGAAGAAATACAGGCAATATCTTCCTGTGCAATTGACTGCCTCTGTAAACCTGCTGGAGGGCCAGCTATGGGTCGGTTCCCACTTGATGGTACACAACTAAAAGGGAAATGAGTTCCAACAGCAGGAACAAACACAATGAAGGGTTAGCTTAAGTACCCCATTTTAGATGGGAAGGTCATAGTCTTCCTCTTCTGTTCCTTAAAGTCAGAGCTGGGGCTAGTTGCTACAAATGGCCATTGTTTCTGCTGGGCCCTACAGAGAGATGCAGTTAAAACAAGGCATGTGCATAAGTGGCCCCTGCCTTTGCAGCAGCTGGCATTTGCAGGATGGTTTCTGAGTGTTGTTCATGGACACTTCCTTTCCTGCAAAATAAGTGCAACAGAAATACTGAATAGAAACATCTTCAATTACTAGGAAGTATCTTTGTCCCAAGAGTTGCCACAGAATCTTCATTTGAAGGGTTCATTGCATGCTGTGGCACTTCTTAGGAAGGAGAAACTTGGTCATAAAAAGTTGCAACGCCCCAAAGCCTAGGTGATAGTGCTAATGGAAATGAGCTGCAGCTTGGTGACCTGAATGGAGCGGTACTGGGCGGTGGCTAGCTTAACTGATCCAGACAGTAAATGTCCACATATTTGTTAGAGAACAGAGAACACTCCTCTTCAAGAGAGGAAAATTTCCTTTTAAACAAAATTGTTACTCTTGAACTAGTACTCGAATTACTGCTGTTGCCTAGTTAAAGTAGATTTCATTTAATCTTTTCAGGGAACTCAGAGCTGTGCTACAGCAGGGTTTCTGATGCTTTTGGTTCTATACTGGTTCCTTGGATCAAGACATGCTGGGAATGGTAGAGGGTCAGCGAAAGAGAGGAAGACCCTCCATAAAGTGACTGTCCCAGGGGGCTCGAGTGTAGTAGGGATGAAGATGGCAGAGGAGAAAGCAAGGCTGGGATCTGTTGTTCACAGGGTCACTACGAGTTAGATGATTCAATAGCACCTAACAACAACAAAGAAAAAACCTAACATGTAGACCAACTTATGAATAACTGGGGCTGGTGTTTTAAAAATGCCAACTCTTATCGTAGGAGTATGCAATGAGGGTTGTAGAGTGGATTATATTTGGGGCTAGGGGGTGGGGTTTGGGGAGGGGCGGG